AAAGCGACATTGAATATCACGTCATGGTCACCTATGATTAACCTTCGAGATCTCGAACACACGTTGCCTGCAAAGACATTTATATTTCAGTCTAAGCACCTATATTTGCGGTTAATTGATGTTCATGTACCGTACTTGACCTTCTCTCATACGTGTTCGTGTTTAAATCGTGTGAAAACATAATAATCCTCACACATTATGTATCATTTATATACAATGTATTAAGTACATTAAACACCTTGGTATGATTTTTGCTTTCTTTGCCTTCATGTTAAACACGTGACCTTGAATTTGTTTCAGATAACCTTGCATTATGGGCTATAGCGAGGATGTTTATCGACGGATTCCTAATTCCGAAGTATGAATCTGTGTTTACAGAATATAAAGATTTATTTCATGGTACAAACAATATGTTGTTCACGGTCCATATGTCATGTAAGCTCACACCACTGATTCACCTCGTTTCAAAATATAAAAAATATCAGGTTCTCGCAACCGCAACGATGTTTAACCTAGGTAAAACTTCCTATATGATGGAAGTAATGCTATCGAACTATAATACCGAGGAATTGTGGGGAAAGTTCTATATAAAATTGGTCCACATCAATGGAAAATCACGGAGGCCCGAACCACTTCCGGACTGGTATATCGGACGCTTTGCGGACATTGTCGACACACAAAGACATTTGCCTCCCATCTCGAGCTTTCCGGATGTCCCTTACGACGCATACAGCATGACTGTGAAGACCAGATACAGTGATTTGGACATAAATAAACATGTAACTACTGCCCAGTATATCAATTTTTTCACCGATTGTGCAACACACGCAGTATTTGCTAATTACTACACTCACTTTAAACATGACATGAGTTGGTATCCGGTAACTGCATTTGATATAACGTTTTTGGGAGAGAGCCGGGCTGACGAGTTTCTCACAGTTAGCACGTGGCAGGACAAGAACGATGTAACCCGTGTTTTCTTCGCCTGCGTTAAAGATAAGAAATATGTCCTGAAAGCGGTATTTATTTACAGCCTAACAAAAAAGAAACCAAAGTTACCACCTCACTTTTGAAAAGGTTTCCGACAATATACTAAATTTACCTCGATGAAGCATAACAAATCCATCACTGCTTATAATTAATTTACAATAATAAATGTGACAATCACATACGACCAAAAAAGCATTTAATATTCAGAATTTACTACGGGAAATATTAGAACGTTGTCTTTATATCATACAGCATTGTTCTAAACTGACTGAATCACTAAGTTTTACCAACTTTTGTACTATTATTACTTGTTTATAAAGCCATGCGGACGACGAACTAAAACCGCTTGTTGGTTAAGAAGTTGTTAAATGCCGACTCGTGTTTCCTCTAGTGTCAGGAGAATGAATAAGAACAGTTGTATCGATTGTAAGAATTTGACGGTTGCAATGCCAACTGACCCCAAGGTTAAGACCCACTGTTTAGGAAAACAAAAACCGAAAAACACAACAACTGGAAAGCGAATTAAAGGATAACTACTATCATGAAGCGACAACTAGGTCATTTGAGATACACGTGAAATGGAAGTATTGTATTATACAAATCCAGAGTGACTTTGGTCGGAGCAGAAAAAACCCATTTTTATTGTAGTACCGATATATATACAATTATCTAAAGATTATCCGTATAAGTGACTTATTCAGAGCAATTGTATTTTTCAAAGTGATATATTTACTCTACTACAATAACGTCTTAATACTCGATATTTTCATTCATTTACAAGGTATTGTTAGTGTTTACACGGAAAACCTATCAACTTCAGTTCTGTTTACTGACCTTTGCCTTTAAATATGATAAAATAGTCGTAAACAATTATATCTACGTGCCAAGCTGATAAATAAATTCATTGGAAAAAATGCCTCTCTTATCTACCAGCAATCATCGAATGTCTGATAGTAAAACATGATTGATATTTATTATTTAGTTTTGGTCTCAGTTTAGATTACATACAGCTTGGTAAAACAGAGTTGTATAAAGCCATCTTTATGTAGCACAGTCTTTATTGCTTACACTGCACTTCAATGGAATGCTTTACTTTTTAGATTTAGAAATGCTATTTGATAAGCAACATCATTCGTTAACGTGCAATGTGAAACTTCGAAATGTATACTTCCAAGCATTAAAGATATCATTAATTGTAGGACAACCTAGATGTCGTTACATGTTTTTTTCTATACATTTGAAATCAATAGGAATAGTCATATTGTTTATCAACGACCTAATCGATTTCCCATCACACGGGAATGTATAATGGTCAGTCCCTTGTGTGTTGACCTACTTACAGACATAGGTAAATCACTGTAGGTACTTCACCCAAATGTCAGATTAATTGTCTTTTCCCACTGACGGCGCAACCAGGGATTTGGCACATCTGTAGTGTTACCATTTAATGTCCGAAGGCTGACATTCATTTTATACCAGGGAGCTTGAATGGAACGGAATTGTTTTTCCTTTTAAAATAAAGATTATAAGTAATTTTGAAATAAACGAAACAACGCATTATAGCTACTTTGTCTTGATGATGTGATGCTATGTTTATATCATGTTCCTGTCTCAATAATATTGGTTTTGTTTCCAAATGAATCAAGATTAATCGATAGGTATGTATGAAAGTTGCCGAAGTATCAAACCAAACCAGCCATTCTATAATAATAAAGATAGTGAAGATGAAGAAATCAATATTATGCATTCAGTTTAGTTGGTCGTGTTACAGCATGACTATCTGTGATCGCTAACAGCTAATTCTGTGATCGATATTTTTTTCTTACCTCGTCGCTCATTTTCAGAAAAACTGAAATGAACAAGTAATAAAATATAAATGATATAAATGTTGATAATGATTCAAAATCGAAGGACTTGATGTATGTGACACTGTCCCAATTAACCAACTTAACGATTAATTTATTTTGAGGTGTCCAACAAAAAAAAAAAAAAAAAAAATTACGATAACACTTTTGACATGAAAATTCAATGTTTTCGAGGGTTCCGTAGGGACTTACTGAATGTAGTGGTCCGATGAATAACGATGATACTTTATTGACGAAAAATTTTGATTTGATTATAGAGCAAAATCTTAAATTCTAAATGTCTATGAAACAAAGTACATTATTCAAGACTTAGTTGTGGGACAAAATTTAATCATGTTCATTTCTACATGTTAAGAGGTATAGATGTAAGTCATAATCTATTGAGACCTACAGTTACGGCATTGTACCGTCTTTCGTCTTTTTCTATTAGCACAAATCTTGCATCGACTATCTCTTGTTTTATCTTGTGTGCTTTTGTGCTTGGTGCAAATTGTTACACGTTTACTGGGATGTTTTCATACTAATGTTTTGTTTAAATATCATTGGAATTGGAAAAAGTTAGAGATCAAAATAACATATTTGAGTTTGGTTTATATAAGATAGCTAAATACCACCCACTTTCTCCAAACCCCATAACATTAATTACTTAGAATTAGTCATGCTCTGTGAAAGTGGCAATTGAAAAGTACCTGGAGTGTTTCGCGATATATAGCAAAAAGATAATTCATATTATGCAATAAAAGACCAAGAAAGTGGTGTAATAAGTTCCGTTTCCGTGGTATCGTGATTGATCTGAAATGCACATCTTTGACTAAACAGCGATCGTCTCGATATTGGTAGTCTACAAGTGTGTGCCGAAATAGCGCTTTAGATATCCTTTAGAGATACACCAGTGAGTTTCCAGCGTGTGTTCGACATGCGAGCTTTTCAGCTACTTATGTAATATATTCCGTTAACACTTCTCTAGGTTATTTGTAAAGTGCTACATACGTAAAGAAATGACTTTGTTTTACAATTTCAATTAGGATTTGATTTCTCTTTTGAGTAGACAAACAACGTCTGTAGGCGGGGGTCTGAATACTCATGATGATGCTATCTAGATTCATCTGTGTTGTCATAATTCGTAAATCTAGTGACTTTAGATATTCTACTTTTTTATTATCTAATTGAACTCTAGAAATTATGAATTAATTTATACAGCGCTAACACACAACTGAAGTCTAATTAACGGAAGCGTACCATTCGGCGATTTCTTTACAAATACAGATATACTAAGGCCATACCAATTTGATTTATAGTTCTTCGAGATTTAAGGATTTAAAATTGGAGCAAGCGACTGTTAGCAATGTTTTTATGTTGGAATTAAATTATTCTTTTGGTTTTTAATGTTGTTTCTAAGTGACAGATCTTTTAAAGTAAAACATCTACCTGATCGAGGTCTCCAGTAATAAATCATTTTATCCATATTTATATTGTATCATATAAGGAAAATATGTTAGAAAAAAATTGTATGCATGATACCGAAAAAGAAATCTGAAGTCCTAGATTGGGGTAGACATTTTACTTGATAGCCCTTTTATAAAAAGAAATGGTAGTTTTCAAGGGCTACCCAACAAAATATCTCATAGTAAACCATTAATTTGTAATGTAATTGCATTTATCCATGGCCAATTGCATCAAGTTCAGCAGATCATTTTGGTGGAGCAAGACTGAATATCTGAAGAAGACCTGCACTGGAATAGAATTTCAAAATGGACACACCAATTATGTTAATCAGAAGGAAATTATCAACAAACACATTTTCAAAGCATATTAACTGTATTGTATTCAACAATTGCTTGAAAGAAAACCTTGTAAAAAGATATAAAAATATTGAAAAAAATGATATACCTTTATCAAATTATAAACTAAAAAAGAACAAACGGAAAAGTTAACAGGAATGACTAGAAAATTAATCACAAACATTTACAAACAATTAAAAGTAAGTCAATTACGTTGCATAGTCTAAAACACAGTCAATTTGGAATATGTTGGTTATTAAATACCAACTGTCTGACAGGACAATATATAATTGCTGTTTTATTTTAGTAAATGACAGTTCAAAAATTGTAAAGCACTTGATTTCCTGAGACACAATAATGTCAATCATAGCTTAAACATACACATCCTGATGGGTTGATGTCTTTGGCTTCTTGAACAACTTTCCCCCCATGTTTTGGCGTCCAAACCTTTATATCGGCAGCTAAGACATAGTGGTCTTACTACTGGAAATTCTGCCAGCAGTCTTTCTATGTACTCATCGAGAAAGCCTTCCTGTGCTCCACAATAAACACAGCAGGGTGGTGCTATGGCCCTCAGTGGTGCTGAATAGTAGGTAATCTCCAATTCAGAAGTGCAGTTAATACTTTGTCTGGTTACCAATCCACTTTCTTCAGACAAACTCTCACTACAAACAAAGTCGCCTTCTTCCCGGATTTGCCTCAGATATACACCCTGAAAGAATAACAGAAGTATTATCATTTGACACTATGTTCATGCCAAATTAACGATTTTAGCCAAATTTTATCCAGCAACACCAATATCAATTGGATTGACAGATAAAATCAACATTGCTGCTCAGTCGTTAGCCATGAAACAGAAGTGTGCCTCAATGTCTTGAATGAATCAAGCCGCTCTTAACACTTTATTATTTCAGTTTCTCTGTATTACATATTTCATCATTTGAGGTTTAGTTTTTTAACAAAGATTATTTCCTTGGAACACAAATTTCACATATAAATGAAGACTTGCAAATCACTATGATAGGCTACATTAAGATAATTAGAAGAATTACAGTCCCCTCCTGGGCGTACTTTAATAGAGGTCAAAATTCAAAGTCAAGGTCACAGTGACCTACTTTTGGTAAAACAACACGCCGTTTCACCATGGTGCTCTCACATGCCAAGTTTGAAGTTCCAGTATGAAAAAGTATAGAAGTTAAAGCCCGGACAAGATTGAGGGATGGATGGACGGAAGGATGGAGGACGGAATCGACGCAAAACTATAGTCCCCCTCTGGTTTCCGGTTGGGGACTAATAACCAACTTTGGAGCATTTGACCTGTGTATGATGTCCACTTGTATTAAAAGTATAAACCCTATTCGGTTCTGTTGTATGGTCATTATAGACAGGTTTACAACAGTTAGTTGAATATAGATATAGGTTACCTGTTCGCGTGTTGTCTTGATTTGCAGTACATGACTCGTGGACGGCCGCAGTCATTGCAGTGGAGAGTGTCTCTGGCTTTCCCTGCTTTCAAAACGTCTCGATTCCTTCGATCAGCTTCAACAGCAGCATCGCAGAAAGCTGAAGTGTTCTTTGCAGAGGGTCGATGGGAGTCATCAACATCTTTTCCATGCAACTGTCAAGAAAATAGAAGCTTGCATACAACACCATGCTAAAGCATATTTCAGCTTGATAATAGTTACGTTTTTTCAGGGTTGAGTGGAAAAAGGGCACATCACAATATTAAAAGAAAGAGAAGAGATACATTCTTTCTCCATTTAACCTCTAATTAATTTACCCATAAAAAAATAGAATAAATATTCTTGAAAGTAGAGGTATCAAAACACAAACTACTAGAACTGCAAATCAAATTGCCAGGTAAAATCAATTAAAATTTGCTTTATCTTTCTCTGTATTAGCTGATAATCCATAAACATCCTCTTGCCAAAAATGTTTTATCATATTGAATGAATCTTTTTCGTATTAAACACTGATGACCTTAAAGCTCTAATCTATATTGTCAGATGAAAATATATTTGAACTTATTGTTGAATACCTGCCAGCATTGCATTAATTACCTCAGTAAACCTCATGTAGCGGTGGCCAGACTCACCGGAACTGGGCAAGGATGAAATGGAATGGGTTCCAAGAGCCGTGGTGGCTGAAATCGGCAGCACGGACAGTGATCGTCAAAGCACTTCCCTATCTGAAAGCTGTAATGACAGCTTATACTATGACGCCTCAGGAAGTCCTATATACAAATAAAGAAAAGATAACTTGTAAAATATTTCCTCAATTAAATTTACCTTTCAATACTACATGTATTATAACGTGTTTTCTTCTAAAATATAACATTTTCTTCATTTATTATTGCTTTACATCCTATCGACAGCCAAGGTCATTTAAGGAAGTAAGGAAGTGCCAGGTTAAGATGGTGGAGGAAGCCGGAGTACCCGCGAAAACCTATGACCTGCAGTCAGTACCTGGCAACTGTGGACAAATAAATTATAAAGACATTTAATTATCTTTATTTATTAAGGTTTCTTAACTTTATGCAGGTATTAAACTATTAAACATATTAAAACCAATATATACCAGTAGCTGACCACTCTCACTGAGATCTTTACTGGAAGCAGCTGGATTAACTTTGGTAGGATCAGCATGGGTAAATTCTCTAACATTGTCGAGATGGTCATCAATTTCACTTCCTGGAACACCAGGGTACACAATGAAAGGAACTTCTTTCAGTTTCATTCGTCCAAAGCGAGCATTCACTGTTTCTAGTACCTCGCTAATACTTTCTGAAAATGCCTCCTTTAAGCCCAAACAACTGGTAGCTAGGTTTCGAACAGCATTGAGGGAAGACTTATTCTTGATTTTATCTTCAAATTTTTTATCCATTTCTTTTCTACTCAGTGCTACGTGTTGAAGTGCCAGATTGATAATGGACATGCAACGTTCTGCGGGATTGATCCAACTATGATTTGGGGCAGTTCGAATCGCTATAAGTAGATCCATATCCAGCTGCATGAACATTTGTAGAAGAGGAGTTTTGACTGTTTCAAATGTTACGCGGTGGTCTTGACCCCCATCTGTCACATGCACAATATGGGATTCTTCAAATCCACTTCATCACTGGAGTAATGCTCTCGGAGAATTCTTGTTGTTTCCATTGCCTGTCGGAATGGGCTTGATGCCTCAAATACTTTGTCCTTCAATGTAACAAATGCCTGTCCATTAAAGAAACTGTCGTCAGCATCTTTTGGTAATGCTGGTACAAGCATCACAGACGGCACAAGGCCTGCGAGATGGAAATCATGATATGTGGCTACAAGAGGTGGTCCAGACGCAGGCACCAGAGCTTTGTTATGACTTCTCACACCAGTAGATATTGGGATCCTAGGTTCCCCGACAGGTATTATGGCTTTATCATCTATACAGATGAAAGTGGCAGAGTCTCGATATTTCACACAGAACTCCTTCAAATAGCAATAGTGTTGCCACATATCGTGCATCTGGATGTCCAACTCTTGCCAATCTGGTTTGAACATGGTATTTTATATTAATTGTTCCTTTGTATTTGAGTGCAGTCCTTTCAAATGGATTGTTTGGCATGAACTGTAAACGAATTGTTTCATTGGTGGGAATTGGTGTGCCTTCTGGTAGACTTTTGGCCACATGATTCTTCAAATCTTCAACTGATATAGCAAGGGGCAGGTATAACTCATCACCATGACGTCGCTCTTGTACCGGAAGAAGTTCTTTGTCAAAATATTTCTTCACGGCTGTGAAAAACTCATTATATTTGCTATCTACTTCTTTACCATTAAGTTCCCGGTAGTGAAGCAACAACTGAGGATCGTCGCCTGTGAGAAGTATTTCGGAAACCCTTTCATCGACTTCTCTTTGGTCATCATTCTCCGACACCCCCTCTGTTCCTGTGCCGCAGAACACTTTTTAGAGCTTTCACAAACTGACAGTATTCATTTATGAAATCTCTTCTCATTCCCCGTGTTGAAAATTCTGGAAAGTTTTTAGCAATTTTTTTGTGCGTTCATTGTATCGTGCTCACCTTCAACATGCACCGTCCACATGAAGTTCAATGTTCCAATGTTGCCTCCATATGCCATTCGGAATAACATAGTAGGCTTTGAAAGTGCGAGGTTGTTGATATATTTCCTGCGGGATGTTTTGGACTGTGGCGAGTAGTGGTCAAGATCTTCAAAGTCACTGGTAGTCTTGACAACATTGTCTAGGTCTTTATAAATTTCATTTGGAACTGGTTTTGGTTCAATGTATTTGCAGATAGAGTCACATTCAACACTCCTCGCAGGTTCCGTTCTTACTTGATATAGATTTTTGTGACGATAGTTGTCTTTTTTGTTTATCGTGTTGCTTTGGCATAGATGGGAAAGATAAACCTTTAGCCAAATCTTCAGCAACCAACTGCAGTTTTTCTGCTGTCAAAACTGGTGTTTTGTGACGGTACAAAGCAAATTTGTTGTACCCTTAAAATGGACTGAAACATTCGGGAATTGGGAATCCATTCTCTTTAAATTTTTTTATGACAAGTGTCGATGCTCCATAGTGCATTGCTGAGAAGACCTATGACTCTCTTACCTTGGTCCTGGCTATCACCAGGCCAGCCATCGTCAAAAGTTCCAATCCAGTCAATCAAGTCACAAAACAGTTTCTGGGTAGCATTCAGTTTTGAAGTTGTAGGTTTCGGTGGGAGAGAGAGTTTTTTGTGACGCCATGAGCACGGAAAATGCAGACTGTTTACATTTAACGGAATTTGTGCCTTCTGATTTATGGCAATAACTGACTAAAAATTCAGCGAATCTCATATTCAAATCCGCACATACCGATACAAGCATCGTCGGCGAGGAGACGACGATGTTGTTTGAACAGGGAGGACGACAAGCGAAAATTCTTATTTCCAATATCTGATGCGATAGTTCTAACTGATCGCACAGATCATAAAACGAAATGTTGTCAGCTGTCTCCATTGCTGTTTGGTATGACATTATAACGACCAGTCTCAGTCGTTACAGAAACTATGATTACTCCCATGTTGTTAGCTAGTTTTTTTTCCGGTCGAACATAGATCAGACGCAGAAAAAAAGCTTTATATAATTGCGACGTTTGTGACAAACGCAACTGTGATCCGGAAATAGGGCAATTTCTAAATTTTGAATCCATGCAAAATAAGTCCGGATTCGTCAATTTTAATTGGAGATGAAATAGGAGCGGTATTTTGTTTGGAAATTATTGATCGCTTAAAATAGGAGCAGTAAATCCGACGAACTATAAATCAAATCAGTATGACCAAATATATATTTATAATGAGCGGCAATCATTATGCTCCGGCTGTCACAAGTACAGAGAGAAAGGGCTGTAGGCATGATCCAGGCTGGGGAGTTTCGCCGTCGAGTTGCACGGCATTTTGGTTGCAGTGTTAAGACAATTTGCCAGTTGGTAAGTCATTTAAACCAAACTGGGTCAACATCCGATCGTCCCCGAAGCGGCCGACCCCATAAAACGACCGCCAGGGATGACCGTCGTATACGATTGATACACTTGCGCAATCGATTCGTAACCGTAGTAGAGACTACAAGGACACTGTTTGGGCGTCGTGTGTCTCCCCAAACAGTCCGCAACAGGTTGAGGGCCTACCAGTTGAAAGCGCGGAGTCCCTACACTGGACCCAATTTGTTTGCCGTAATAATCGGCGTAACTGGACCCGTGTTCACCGTCGTTGGGCCTTACGACAATGGAACAATATTCTGTTTTCAGATGAGTCCAGGTTTTGTCTCCAACACGGTGACGGAAGGCGCAGAGTGTGGAGACGACGAGGGGAGCGTTTTGCGAACTGCTGCGTCGCAGAACGGGACCGCTTTGGCGGCAGAAGTGTAATGGTTTGGGGTGGTATTTGTGGGGGGACTCGTACCAGGCTTGTTGTGTTAAATGGCAATTTAACCGGAATTCGATATCGGGACGAAATTTTAAGACCATTGGTTCTGCCATTCTTTAGACGCCATGGCGTTGGCGCCACTTTTCAACAGGATAACGCACCAGCGCACACCAGTAGCGTCAGCAGAACTTTCTTGCAGCAGAATAACGTACAGGTGTTAGATTGGCCATCTAAATCACCTGATTTGTCACCGATTGAGCATGTCTGGGACATTCTTGGGCGACGCGTTAGAGAACGTCAAAATCAGCCGTCAAACTTGCAGGAGCTGGCCCAAGCCTTGATCGCTGAATGGAACAACATCTCTCCTCGAATTATCCGCCGGTTTACGAGTTCCATGCGACGACGCTGCAATGCTGTTTACTTCGCAAACGGTGGCCATACCCATTACTAATGGTGTTACCTTTGAAATTGACCCCAACGTCCTTTACAGTCGAATAAAATCAACTGAACGCAGAGTTTTATAATGAACCATGACTGCAGTTTTATCAGAATTGATCAATTACTTTATTCGTACATGATTGGTAAGGATTTATGAAGGGGTTAATTAATTAATCACAGAATAAAGTAGTGTTACCTTTCTGTTTTTGTTTAGAATATTTACCACCATATTGTCAGACTGATAATTGTTTATCAAACAGTATATCATTTGGTATTGTACGCTGTGGTATAATTCTTCAGATGAAAACTGATCCCTGTCATACTCCAATGGTTACAACACTAAATGGGTTATAGCACAGGCCCTATGGACCTTTTGAATTCATGGGAATGCTCTTAAGGTGCCACAAAAACCACCCACTTTTACTTAATTTGGTGACTTGGCGAAATTCCATTGTTCATGAAAGAGATCCTTTTAAAGCTTTGGAGGCGGCTGAAGAAAATCCAAATTGCTCAAAAGAATAGTCGAACTCTAGATGGGAAGGCCCATCAGCCCAAAGATTAAAAAGATATTCTTAATATTTATGTATCTGATAATAAAACAACGTCAAGTATATTCTGAACCGTTTTACAATCAAATGAATTAAAACATTTCAAGCAGGTAGTGTCAAACCTTGGAGACCGAAAGTCAAACAGAAGTTTCTCCAATACTTCACAGGGTTATCCTCGTTTTGAGTAGGGAAAGATAAATCTTTCTCTCATTTCCACCTGTGTCAGACAGGCCTGTCCAGGGCAATAAACATGGTCATGTTAGACGTTTATTGCACAGGCGCCTGTGTAATAAAGCCTCGCGCGCGGAGTAATTCATAGTTTTTTCCCGCGCACTCATCGACTATGTCCTCGTCAACCTCTTCGTCCACATCAACGCATAGTCGATTGGAGTCATTGTTTGCAGGCTCGTATTTACAAAACTGTTCTATAAATATCAACATCACAAACCCTGGGACTCAGCCTTTCCGCCGTCGTCCACGTGTGATTGAAAGTGACAGTGACTAACTTTCCTCCTGTCGCGAAATGTGTGACGTAAGTGACGTCATCTCACAAGCAAACCGAGAATTCCATTTATAAATGTGTAAGATTTGTAAGATTACTATTGACAGTGAAGTAGTGTTAATAACTTGACCAACATGTTCAAGGATGTAAAAAGTGTTTATGATATATTATACATTGAGCAATAGTAAATATTAAAAAGAAAAGTGTTGTTTTATTGCGTGTTTTAAGGCACTATATTTGGACGCGTACACATGTCTCTGGGTGATATATTTGACAGGGTATTTGACCCAGCCCGCTTGAAGAAAAAACAGTTAAACACTGACGTTGGATGTTTACATTCAAAGTCCATATTATGTTTTCGACCGCAAACATAGTTTGCAAAATTCGGGGATGGAGAATCTATTTCAGCATTTTTTTTTTATGTATATGGCCCAAGGGAAAAAAAAAAAATAGAAATCTGAAAAATGGCGGCGTCCAGTGATGGCTACCGCGAGGTGAGTGCAAATATTTGATAATATGAGATTAGAAATGATAGAAAAAAAACTCTTTTCTATATGGGTATGTAGGATAGGGATATTCCACCCTCGGGATCACAAAAAATGTAGTAAAAACCCTCGGCAAGCCTCGGGTTTTA